TGCCTTCCTTAGGGCTTGGAAGTCTGATCCAAAGTTTGTTGAAGACCACCGAAAGGACTCATTGGCTTCAGTGGACTTTGAATCAGGCCCTCAGTCATCAGATACAACTTCTTTATCGTAGTAAATGCCAGGATTCATTTTTACCAGTATAGCCTCCTGTTTTTTTACATGCTTAAACCAGGCTAGATAGATTTGTTGTTCAAATCCTTGTATGGAGACTATCTGCTTTAAGAAGTGTCATGTTAGTTCTGGTCAGTTCATTCATCTCCAGTGAATTGCATGGCTGATTAACAATAATGTAATCCACAGGAGATTCTCAGTTAAATTTTTCAAACAGCAGCTGACCACTCTTTAATTCCATTAGTTTTTAGTTATAACTTATTACCATACCCATAGGATGTAATTAAGTGGTCAAGCGTATTTAAACAGTGACATATTTTCAAACCTTTATCAACCTCTTGATAGTTTAAAAATATTCACAACATTCACCTTCTTTGAAGGATGTACAACTAAGCATGGCTCTTCTAGTCAAATTTAATTAATCATTAATCAAAGGTTCAGTTAACCATAAAAAATAATAGTCTTTACAACCATGTCAGTGCACATGGCCTTATCATTAGCCTAATCCATCTTTAAACTCTTTTCCACTAGCTGTTTAATTTTTATAACTACAGGAGTCAGTCATTGTCTGCAGTTATAGCAATAAGATTGCTGGAAAATGTTTAATGCTCAATTGTTGCATGTAGCATCCCACTGAAAATGCATTGTGAGCCATCTTATTTTTCTGCAATAATTGACCAAGGATGAAAATCGCCTCTGATGTTGAGGAGTACACTCTTCCATTAAGCACCACTGCTAGATAGGGGAATTCCCCTTGTCGCAGCTGCTACAGTAGGAAGCCCTACATAGTTTTGCATACAGAGGAAGTTTGCATGTGGATCATGCCTCACCTTCTTTCCAGGGGGTTACAGCTACAATCATTGCAATTGACAGGATGAATAGCAGCTACCCCGAGGACGTGTTCTCCAGGTTGCCCATCAGTTGGGAAATGTATTTATTCCCCGCAGCCTCTGCTAAGTGACCTTCATGAAGTGTAGCTACTGGGGTTTCCTGTGAGAGAGGCAAATATCACAACAGCAACATCTTCCCTCGGTAGGAGAGGGGTGTTGGCATGTTAAGGTATGTGTAGAAGAAACAAGCAGGGAATAGCTAGTTGTAGGGACAAAAACATTGTTGGGAGTACAGTCACCAAATCAGGAACACTATGATTGAGGGGTCCATAATATTTGTTGTTGACCCATACAGGTTTTCTGAAGGTTGCCATATCATCCTGGAGGAATCCATAGATCTATTCAGGTTTCACCAAATTTAAAACAAATTAATATTTGTCTGAAAAGCCATGTCAGAAAGTGTAGTGAAACTGATAGGTCTTCATCCTTTCAACAACAAAAAAAAGCTGCCTTCATCGTATCATTGAGTAAGAACTATGCCATGTGACTTGGATGACCAACCTTGAGCTATGCTGGGTGAAAACTAAAAGTGAATGGAATGAAAATATTGTCTAATTTATGATGGTTAATATGGACAAACAACACCCCTCCCCAACCAGAGGAAAATGCTGGTTACTTCCAAAAGCAATTCTGGAACTGAAAAGAGGCCAAGCACTATACCAAGTGCTATGTTCAAGGGACCTCTGACACAGCCCTGTCACTGAGTACTTTAAATACCAGTCACCTGGGGAAACATGGGTGACACCATGTTTATACATCTGTTTACAGCTTTGATGGCATCAGCATACAGATGATTATATAGACATAAAATGTGTGCGCCACGGGAAAATCAAATCTGTCCCTGATGCATTTCCACTGAAGTCAGTGGAGGACATTGGGAATGAATTGATTAATTTGTCCCTCTGATTCCCCTCCCCTCCCCCGCCAATCTCATAGTTTTCAGCATTACCTAAAGATTCTAACTGCTACCAGTTCACCTAACTGGAGTTTGGGCACAGAGTCCTACAGGGTGTACCATAAGTACTGGGGCAGCAGGCAGCCAGCATTCCTGGCTGGGGTTTCACTTTGCAGGTTGTTACTCCAGCACTGATGAACCATGCAGTTTAAAATTCTTTCTGGTTCTGCAGACTTTCATGCTAGGGGCAACTGAGGCAGAAGCAATTAGAATGACTTGACCCTAAGCCGTTCAGTGAGTCATTGTCTCTGCTCTTGTTCTTGCCCACAGACTGTTGTTTGATCTGTTTCAACCATAGCCAGAGAATTTTCAGCAGGGCTTCCAATGGCTTAATTTTATCCTAAGTGTATCTAAGAGATGCTTTCTACCAGTGTAGTCTTGTATACCATCAAACAAATGTAGTCTTGTATACCTTCTAGCCTTTTACACACTCCTGTCTTGTATCTACTGCTCACTTTGTGGCTATATTTTTGGGATCCCAACTTGAATCATTGCCATGTATACACCTCAGACTCCTAGGAGGTGTCATATGACATTTGCAGTGATCATACCATGTAAAGTATAGATGATTTGTGGAATGTCTACTTCCTGAATAGAAATGAAGTCATCCTCCTAAACTTTCCATGCTATGAATTCGGTCAAATTGAAATAGAGCCCAGATTACCATTAGTGGGTCTGGCCTCACTTCATAATATGCTTATCCTGAGCTCTAAAATGGAGGCTACTTCATGTTTTGTCTTCATAGTCCAAATCCCACTACACCCTCCTTTTCCATCCCTGACAGACCTTTCTGAGTCTGCCATCATCCAGCATAAGTGGCCTCTACCCTGCATCACCAATTCTTGCAGCATAACCAACCCACAGTCAGTTACATAGTATAGAAAGTCTCCTTCCATTTGGCTCACTGATGGCAGGTTGGTTGTCATATGAGCCCTATGTATTGTATAGCAGGGGTACATATATTAATCTTCATAGAATCATAGTTGGAAAGGAACTCAGGAGGTTATCAAGTCCAACCCCCTGTGTGACAAAGGTACCTTCCAGGCCTGGTATTAGTATGGCCCTGGCCCTGGCCCTGTCTCTGGGCAAACTGCCTACCTTGCTCTCCTGCCATGCCTTGTTGATAAATGATTATTAAGCCCGGGACAGGCTTTTGGGCCCATCCCATGACCCTCACCCAAATGGGACTGAGTGACTGCTCAACTATGGGCCTACTTCACTCCTGGCCCCTCTCTTGGGCCACAACTCCACCTCTTACATTAGGGCCTGGGGTCTTCCACCCCTTAGGACTCAGCTGCTTCTCCCCAAGCTTTAACTGGACCACAACTCTGCCCTGCAACTCTCAGAACCTGGGGTCTTACACCCCCTTGGGCAAGGTGCTCCTCTTTGAGCATGCCTGGCCCACTCCAGGGTCCAACACCCCATGCGACTCAAGCACTTCTCATAAGCTTACCTTCCCCCCCCATCTCTCCTAGTAACCCACCTAAAGGTGGGGGCAGGGATTTCATCACCCCAACCAACTTTACACCAGGGAGGTTGTCAGTCCTGGTATTTGAGTGTTCCTGCCCCACCACAGGCAGAAACACCAGGTCTCCTTATTCCAGCAAGGTGCAGTTTTAGGTCATGCCTAGGACCTATTAGGACTCCTCCTTCCCCATAGCCTCACCCTTACCTCTGAAATATTCCTGGAACAGGAACCCTACCAGGAAATGTTACTCCCCAGCTGCTGAACACAAACTGCTCTGCTTTTATAATAGAGCTCTCCCAAAATGGCCACTCTCATCAGCCACCTGGCAGCTCCCTGCTTCAGCCCTTAAGGGTGTTCTGTCACACCCTGCTCCAAGCGGGACCATCTCCAACTAACATATCATCCCAGCCAAGGCTTTGTCTAGCCAGGTCTTAAAAGCCTCCAAGGATGAATATTCCACAACCTCTGGATAGTCTGTTCCAGTGTTTTACTACCCTCCTGGTGAGAGAGTTTCTTCCTAATATCTAACCTAAATTTGCTGTAACTTGAGACCATTGCTCCTTGCTCCTATCTGGTCTAGCCCTATCATCCTTGATTTACATCTTCTAGTATCAACACTCTCTATCCATGAAGTGAAATTAAATCTTCCTTCAGTGATAGGAAATTGCCAGCTTCTTGAAAATTCATGGCTAGCCTGAGTGTTCCAAGTCTGTCCTGCATCCTGTGAATATAACCTATACGGCTCTTTAAAAGGCCCACTGCATGACATAATATTATGCAGCACAGCTGGTCCACAAGTCCGTGATATGGTATGTGATATTGCATTATGACACCATGGTGCAGTGTCATTGTATATTATCACCATCATACTGTGAAAGCACCAACATCATGCCATAAATCAAGATCTCAAGGTCATTTATTTTTGTTCCACCAGACACATTCAAACATAGTCACCCCTAGTCAGCACCACTGGCCCACCTTGCCATTTCATGGTCCAGGAAGTATGGCTAGATTTGTAGCCAAGCTCTTCTCCAGAAGTCTTAATTGAGTGAAACTGATTCTTCTACATCATACTTCCTGCAGCAATAAGTCTCAGTCAGGTCAGTTGAGTTGGAGAGAAAATTAATTCCACCTGTCCTTGGCCTGCTTGGCATATCTCTAGCTAGGGTGGCTCTTCCCCAGCTGAGAATTCCCCCATGTTGGGCAGCTGCCAACTAAGCATGTGCTTATGTGCTTGTTTGTGCCACTGGAATGATGCTAAAGGAATGCAGCTGGACTGAGAATTGGCCATTGACTTCAATTATTATTTAAATTGTAGTAATGTCTAATAGCCCCTGTCAATGATGAAGACCTCATGAGTATTATATGTTGTACTTCAATTATGTATCTCCTTGTAAATATCACTCACAGAAGATGAGGATTCTGTCCATCTTTACCTTCCACAATGCTATCTGCTTGGTATTTTTGGGTCACCTGCTTTCCTCCTGTGTACAGAGGTGTTAACTAGGAGAGCAAAGGTTCTCCTTACAGCTTAACATTGCCTAATGTACACTTTTCCCTTCCCTAGAAAAAGGAGCCAGTGGCACTGGTGAAGAAGACCAACAACACTTACAATATTGTGGGCACAACATACGCCCTCAACATCACCAAGGACCCCGGCCTGCCCACAATCTCCAAGAGCGCTGCTGCCACTGCTGCCGCCACCACCATGCCCCCCAAGGTGCCCTGCATGGAGGAGAAGCCTCCTGAAAGCAAGAAGACCTATAACAGTGTCAGCAAAGTGGACAAGATGTCCCGCATTGTCTTTCCTGTTCTCTTTGCCATTTTCAATTTGGTCTACTGGGCCACATACGTAAACCGGGAGTCAGCTATCAAGGGAATGATCCCCAAACAATAAAACCAGCCACACAAACCTTCCATCTGTGAGCACCATTCAGGCAGGAATTCTCTGGAGCTTTCTTCTCCATCTGAGTTGTTATTAATTTAATTATAATTTGAATGAGATCAATGTAATCAAAACTGTAGTATTTATTTAATCCGTTATTCATTCATTCATTTTAATTAATTTATGATGATGATCAAGACAAAAGGATCATAAAAAGTGTGCCTCTAACATTGTGAGTCTGATGTCCTCCCAAGCCACCCCTCACCCTGTCTCTCTCCCTTCATCCTCCCTGAAATGAAAGCCGCTTGCATACCATTTTCATTCTATGCTAAGCTCTGCTGAGGCCTGATGGTATATTTTTCCTGTGTCCTCCTGCCCTGTGATGGACTGCCACAGTGGGTCGGTCCCCTTTGCTTAGATGCTCCTAGCAACATGTGTTCAGGGATGTAATGGGCTTTGTAGATGTCCTGCCATTTGTATTGGTTTTCAGTGTTATTCCTTATGATGAGCTTTATTCATAGTGTATCAGCTGTCTTGGTTGGTGAGCTGTCCTGGATTCAGGGAGCTGCAGAGGCTGCATCCCTTAATTTTACTGTAGACAGGTGATTCTAGGGCAGTCATGCAACTTTAAGGATTAATGGGCTGGAGGAAGCCTCTGCTATAGTGGAACAGACGACAGTGCCATGTATATCCCTATAGGGCTGCCAACTCTCCATCTTGGCTGTACCATCTGCCTTACTTCCTCTTTCCACCTCCCCCAGTAGAAGTATCTTAAGAGCATCTCTTTCTAGTTGAATCCTCCTATGAAGGCACAATATCAAGCAGGAAATGCTTGTTTCTTCACTGTTCTGTCCTCTAGTAGGCCAGAATGTCATATTACAGGTTCAGGTTCTTTCCGTCAGACAGAGAAACACAGACCATCAACTGAAGTCCCTATTAAGTCAAGACACCAGAGCAGAACCAAGGTTGCCTAAACCTTGAAAGTTAGAAGCTAACGTGGCATATGTGTTCTGATGTGTGGCTTTAGTTGTTGGGGGTTTTTTTCTGTTTCTTCAGTCCCTTTTTCCTGCTCTCCATTGCCCTCCATTCTCCTCTCCCTACTCCCAACACATCTTACCTAGCAACCATGTCTCAAAATCTCACCCTTCTCTGCCTTCTCTTTCATTGCCTGAGGATGAACTTCAGCCAGGAAGGTGACAGCAGCTGGACTTTCAAGTTTTATAGAGCAACAATGATGTTACCTCAGGCTACAAAAGAATACATTTCTGTCTTGATTCAGGGAAGGGGCGATCCTGACTTGGGAGCAAGAGTGATAGAGAGTTGGCAGGGGGAAGAACAATAGGCCTTAAACTGAAGGGCTCTTGAGTACTCTGTGTCTGGTGAAATCCGTGGGAGTGAGGATACCCAATACCATGTCTGAAGCACTGAAACTGTAAAATCAGGCTCTTTGAAAAGGCACTTTTAATATTTAATATGTGAAGTTCTTGATTCTGTTATCACTAAAATCCATGTAAGTGAGGGGAGAAAGCCCTGGAGAGAGGCTCTTAGCCCTTTGCAACTGCCCCATTTACAGGGACCTAATGACAACCTCATCTTCCCCAACAGCAGGGCTGAGATACTGAGATCCCATCTGTGCATTTCTCCTCCTAGTTCCCCCACTGGTGTCCAGACATGGATATGCTGTCCTAACACAGGGCATTTAATGTTGTATCTGGTAAACTCTTGTTTTCCCTACCAGCAGTACTGATCAATCTGTGTCACTTTCCTTCACCCCAGTGCAACCCCATGGTTTCTTTTTTGGAGGAGGCTGCTACGAGTCCTGCTCTGTGAGCTGCTGTAATGACCTCCTTCCTGTGCATAATGATCATGTATCAGCTTCAACTTAGTCCTCTCATATTCTGCAATGGGGCATTTTGGATGAAGCTGACTACTAAGCAAGTGATCAGCATGAGACACATGTGCCCCCCTGGAAGGATCAAGTGGGATGTACATGTACATTTGCAATATTCTGGACTTCTGCGTAAGGGGCCAGTCTCACCCTTCATGGATAGAGGATGTGCCCCACCTGGAATATTCACCAGGATGGCAGGATCTGAGAGGAAGGGCCCAGGGAAAGATTTGTTGTGGTCTATTGTGTAATCCTTACTTGAGTAAACAAGATCTTGTTCACAGATGCCCTGGTAGCCAGACCACTCCTGTGCCTTCTGGTGACTGCAGCAGTACAGTTATCTGTCTTGTCACAACTTCTGGGACAGGAGTGCAGGAACCCCAGGACTAGATCAGACCCATGCTCCATCTGAGTTAATATCCATGTCTCCAGAGGTGGCTAGTTCTGCATGCTGCAGGGGCAGGACTCCCTCCACAAGCCTTGTGGGGTAATGTGACATCCACAATTCCATGCTCCCTTCCATCCAAGAACAGTGCTCAAAGCCGCCCCTCCCTCCCCCCCCTCCTGCCCCCAACAGCATGTGACTTTCCTACAGTGCCTTTCATCCCAGAGACCTGGCATCACCCTCCCTAGGGTGCACCTCACCCACCAGTGCAGCACAAGCCTCTGGTCTGTTTTGCTTTGAATGGCAATGCTGTAGCACAGTTCAGAAAAGCTGCAGGTGAATGTCACATTCCACTGAGACTGCTGAGCCCCTCCAAGTTGTGAAGTTTGCCAGGATATAGGTATTAGCATTAATATTCTGAACACTGCTAATTTAACATGCCCTGGAGATAACATCATCACTACTACAAATTCTGCTGCTCTGACTCCATGGGTGGTAACTGCTACAGGATTTTTAATGGACATGTTTTGTTTGTTTCTTTTGGAAAATACTTCTATGTCATTTTCTTAAATACACTTTGTCTAGGTTATCTCATAAAACATTCAAGGTTCTATAATACTCAGGCTTAAGTGAATGAAATAGAAACCCTTTAAAAACACAATAAAACAGTAATAATGAGTATATTGTGTTTACAAAAGGAATTATATTGAATGCAAGTTTCAATATGGGCCCCACAACATTGCTGTCTCTGAATGACCTCAGAGTAGGAAAGCAACACGAACTAATGGGATACACACATTCTCCTTAATCCATTCTGACACAGGTGGCAGAGATTCCTTTGCCTAATATTTCTTTATGGGGGGTTCTTACCAATGAAAGCTGTACTTGTTGTACATTTTTTCATGGTTGTTGAATGCAACGCTCTCTGAATTATTTAAAAAACAAATAGCTGGGTTATACAAACCAAAAACAACAAACGTATCTCATTAGCCAGTACTTACCATCTGAAACTTGGTCCCTACAGCAGTACAGTGACCCCCTTGCCTATCTAATATCCACCTCCAGGCAGAAGGTCTGTGGTGACACTCAGGGAGGAGCATCACCTACTGAGTCACTGGCACCCTTTCCTGTTCTACCTGGTAAAGGTAGCTTGCTGCTTTCATATCTAATGTTTTACTTGTTCCATGGGTTAGACAAGGTAACTGATAAAAGTCTCTGAGTTAACTTCTCAAAACCATTACTAAATATGCATTGTTCTTATCTGTTTCCTCCTCAACTTTCAGAATAATTTCCTACCTGTGCCCTGCACAAATTCTTCCAAACTCATGTTTTCTCAATACCTAGCAACTATTCCTATAGAACAATTTGTAAGTACAGAAGTAAGTAGCTGGGCCTAGGCATGTGATATCATGTTGCCCTTGTGTATTACCCTCAGACCTTAGATATCTGCCTGATAAATTGTTCACTTTTAGGATCTAAGGTTGTATAAAGTGAATGCCTCATTCATTCACACAAAAACCTGGCATTGATTTGTATTGCTGAATGCCAGCTGGAGGCAAAGTGACAAACATCCTTTAGTTAAAATAAACCCAAACAAGATGTGTAATATTACTCCCATGTGAAGAAGAATTTTGGGAAGATGCTTATAAATAAATGGTTTAACACCCACTGCCAGCTGATATCAGGGAACAGACAAAGTTGTTTTTTTTCTAAAAGAGACATAGAGACATTTCCTTTCAGCTAGCACTAAGTTGTTCGTCAACTTCCATTTCTAAAAACTCCAGATAAGACCTTATCCTAATACTAAATTCTTGATAATGTATAGAATAATGTCAAGGGTTCCCACTGTGGTGGACTCAGGGCTGCAGAAAGTCTTCACCCTGAAGCATTTTCAATCTAAAAGAGGAGAGAGACAGGATGTAACTGCAGCTTTCTGAAGAATGGAAATGTTGTTTCACAGTGAATTCCAAAATCTGTTTTCTTTCCATTTAGGATCCAAATTCCAACATTATGAAATTCTCTCAGCAAGAACATTTGCAAGTATTATTTCAGGATTGTCAAAATGACTTGCTTCAATTTTGACATTTTAAAATTGTCCATTGTAAAATGTAACATAATCCAAAATAATAATAAATCTAAGATAAAAATTCTTTTCAAAGGAAATGTAAAAAGGTTGAAATTATTTTACCATAGCTTTTTAGCCCCTTTGTTTTCCTCTGAAATAATAGATCTGCAAAATCAGCCCAGCTTTATGAGAGGTTTTGATTTGCAAGGAACTGCAATGGAAAATGGTTCTATTGACATTTTTTCCTGACTGGTATATCAAGTAAACAGGCAGCATTGAAGTGATGGTAGCAAACATCATGTTAGTGTTGTTGTTTATCCAGAGAGTGGTTTAGACTGTCTTTGATTATGTTCTCTCTGATAGCAAGACGATTAGTTCACTGCTTTTCCCATCACCCACACTGAAAGGGCTTCTTGAACATCTAAGAGCAAATATTAACATCTAAACCTTGACAGAGAGTTATGACGTGGTGACCTTCCTCACTGTCCTGAGCTCTGC